ATCATGAGTGATGGATAGGAAAATCAGGGTGAGGACAACTGTAACCCGAAAGTCATCAATTTAGACACACCTACTCGGTGAAACGGGGGCCCGACTGAACAGCAGCTAACAACAACAATGGGTGAAGGGAGCAAATTACAGCTTTTTTGGTTTATATTTACTTTAAACGTAAAGGCTAGTTGCAAAATTACTGAAAATTTGTTTGGTTTTCCTGCAAGCAGAAGTCAATACTACGTGCAAAGGAGTATCTGCGTTGGACTCACCATGAAATCTTTGAGGCGCTCTGGTTTACAGAATTTCTTTCCTGTTGGTTACTGCCTGCAGAATCTTCATCACTACAGAAAGATAACATTTTCTAAATTTATACTTATTTATAAATTTGAATGGCAAAAATAATTTTGTTCTGATATGTTTTGGCTTCATTTAACTCTCTGATCCACTCATTTCTCTTGGTCTGGGGAGCTCTCATGGCGTAGTGCCTAAGGCATTTGACTGCTCACCAGAAGGCCGGAGGTTCAAACCCACCAGCCACTCCTGGAAAGGAAGGTTGGGCAATCTACTTCCGTAGTGATACCGCCTCGGAAACCCAAGGAGGGGTCTCTATGAGTTAGATCTGACTTGACAGCAGTGAGTTTGGTTTTGTTTTCTTAGAAATTTAAGCTAGTGAGTCATTTTTACATTTTGAGCCTTTCATAGACTTCAATAAAAAGCAGTAGTTTGGAGGTATTCCCAAATGAAAGGAAATTGTTCATAATGGCTCATAATGACCCCAGACAATAGAAAACTGGGATTGATGAATCATCTTGCCTGGTTTAGCCCTGATTGTCTTGTAGATATGCAAGCATTCTGTCATTTTTATGCTTTAAAAGAAGTTGTTATTGTTCTCTTTGTTGTGATCACAATGAAAAGTTTCAAAACACCCAGCATTTTAACCTTCTGGATGCAGATGGAACCACAGGATTTTGTCACCCTCTGCCACCCGTTATTTCATTGCTTTTATGTTGGCTAATAAGCAGAGGACAAGGGAGGGTCTACCTCTCAAAGGCCAAAGGTTGTTTTATCTGGAATGCAGGACCTATTTCCTGTTTGCCTTCAGAGCCCAGGTTCTTTTTCAAAAGCACACTTCATAGTGACAAGCTTCCTTAACAAGGAAATGCTCTTCTGGCTCCATTTCCAGAAATGCCTGGAAAAAGCCTTAAACACTAGAATGTCTCCCTCCTAACCTTCCCAAAGAGCCTCGTCTCCTGGGATAGCTTTTAGAATTCATATCTTCATTAGAAAACTCTTATTTTAAAAAGGCTGAGCAATTTAATGAGTCTTTGGGTGATGCAAATAGTTAATACGTTAAGCTGCTAATTGAAAGGTTGAAAGTTCGAGTCTGCCTAAAGGTGCCTCAGCAGAAAAGCCTGACAATCTATTTCCAAAAAAAAAAAAAAAAAATCAGCCTTGAAAACCCTATGGAACACAGTGCTGACATACGTGGAGTCGCCATGAGTTTGAGACAAAATGTATTTAGCCTTCTGGTGGTTTTTAAGAGCACATGGAGAATGCTCATCAGTAGTTCGTCACTTAAGTTTATCCATATAATAGAATATAATACAGCCCTTAAAAAGAATGAGGTATATCCCTTAAAAAGAGTGAGGTATATCCTCGTGTATTTAAATGAGGACAAAGATCAAGACGTTGGGTGAAAAGAGCCAGTGGCAAAGAAGACTATGTGGCAAGGACCAATTTTAGTAATTATATGTTATGGTAGCATATGCATGGAAAAAAGTTTAGAAGCCATGGAATAGTCCCCAATGTTTGAATGTTTTGAAAGGAACCTGCATTATTTTACTAATCAGAAAAAATAAAGATTGAAAAGCTGCTCAGGTGAAGATAGTAAGAATGCTGAAAAATTGATTAAAAGTATCTGACAATATGGTTGTTTTGTTAAAAATCCAAGCTCTGTGAAGACCTTTTAGTAATGATCATACTTCACACATAGCTGTGATGCTGCTCATGTTAAGAGATGATTGGTCAATTCTTTATTGATAGCTAGCTTTCTGAAGTTCTAGGGAAAAACCCAGGAGCTCTGGTAGCATAGTGGCTAAAGCACTTGACTGCTAACCAGAAGGCTGGCGGTTCAAACCCACCAGCCACTCCTCGGAAGGAAGGTTGGGCAATCCTACTTCCGTAGTGATACTGCCTCGGAAACCCAAGGAGGGGTCGCTATGAGTCGGGGCCGACTCGACGGCACATAACAACAACAACAACAAGGGAAAAACCCAAGGGCAGCACCAGGGTAAAGTGACTAAGGTACTCGACTTGGGGGCAAAATTCAAGAGCTATCTAAAAACGCAGTAATCAAAATTAAATAGTGCCTTAATAAGGAGCTCTGGTAACGCAGTGCCTAAGGTTAACCTTAGGTTAGCCTGCTAACCAGAAGGTTAATGGTTCAAACTCATTAGCTGCTTCATGGGAGGAAGATGAGGCAATCTACTTCCATAAAGATTTACTGCCTTGGAAACTCAATGGGGGTTGCTGTGAGTCAGAATTGACTTGATGGTGGTGGGTTTGGTTTGGTTTGGTTTAGTGCCTTAATACAATATTAAAAAGTTAAAATACAAAAAAAAAAAAATCTATAATGAGTGGTGCAAACCGTTAAGTGCTCAATTATTAGCCTGAAGGTTGGTGGTTCAAACAAACCCAGAGATGCCTTGGAAGACAGGCATGGCAATCTGCCTTTGAAAGGTCATAGGCTTGAAAAACCTATGGAGCAGTTCTACTCTGTACTCATGGGGTTGCCGTGAGTTGGAACTGATTCAACGGCAGCTAATAACAGCAAATGGCAATCCTTGCATTGCTGACTCTGCAGCAACCCCACGTGAATCACTAGTTCTCATTACTTAATTGAAAACTGGTCTGGGAAAGTGGACCTGACACAAAGTTAACATGACACCCACTCCCCTTGCTTCAGGTTTATTGACCTCCTTCCACAAGAACTCTGGTCTGCAGGTGAGTGAATGTAACCCTTCTCCTCAGGCACCAGTGACCATTGATACACTTGGCTTTGAGCTCCACTTTGCAATGAAAGGGATCATGACTTGGGACACTGCAAAAAACAACAAGAATACACTTACATTCTTCCAAGTTCCATGTGGCCCTGTGGCTGTATCATCGGTAGAGTGAGGCATTTGCTTTACATAAAAACAAAGGGAATGGACAGAATAAAGGAATAAGAGGACAAGGGGGGGGAAGAAAGAGAAAAGACACTTGGTTAAGTCAGAGAAGTGCTTTGCATGCACGTTGGGGAAAGATAGACATCAGTAGCCTGCAGGATGCTCATAACTGCCTGAGAAAACGGCAGCCAGTGGGCGACGTTTTGGAGAGAAGGTCTGAGGCAGCAAATACGGAAGGGTAGTCCCTGGAGCCTTTCTTCATGCTCGTCTCTCAATTTGATCCAACATTTATTGAGCATTGATTGTGGGCAGGCCCAGTGCCAGACCCCAGAGACAGATACAATTAGGTATTCCCTTCAAAGTGCTTTCAATTCTGGCTGTTGATAGAATTTTTAAGCTGAGAAGACTAATCAGCTCAGCAAAGTACATTACAAAAAGAAGCCCATGCTAAGCTCCCTCATTGAAAAGATACATGTTTAAGATTCTGTGTTCTGGAATGTGGGGTTACTAGGGGAAGACAGCAGTAGAGGGGATGGACTAAGATGCCCAAGTGTTCCTTGGATCTTTAGATAAGTAGAAAGTCTACTATGTAGCTAAGCCCCAGTGGGTCCTCTGCTTCCCAGGCCTCTGGCTCAAATACTCAATGTTTTTCTGAGAGGCCAGTTTCATCTCAGTGAAGGCCTGTATGGACAGCTTTGAGGCTAAGGTCCAAGCCAGGGAAGGACAATGCCTACTCTACGTTCTTCACAGTCAGCCTGAAAGCTGGGGTTTACCTTTTCACTTTTCTTACTTGCCACCAGTCAGGGCAGTCTTCCCTTGGAATGTATCGCATGTTGACGTTTGGCTGGGAGCCGCAGTTTTTGTGTGAATCGCCGTCACGCTGGACTAGGGTGGTACTGGAAGATGGTGCATCCATTTTGAGAACAGGAACTGCCCGAGGAACCTTCAGCTTTGGAGGACAAGAGATATGAATATATCACTGGAAGACACAGATGCATGTACTGGGAACTAAAGACCAACATATGTCAGCTCTTACATTTCAAAAGGAAGAAAGGAAAGTTGCAATTCTAAGCATTGGTGAGACTACAGAGCAACTGGATTTCTCATACTTTGCTGGTTGGAGTGTGAAGTGGTACAACCACACTGGAAAGCTGTCTGCAAAATCTACGCAAACTGCCCATGCACATACCCTCTGACTCAGAAATCCTATAGGTATACCCAACAGTAATATGTAACCAAAAGACATGTAAAAGAATGCTCATGGCAGAATTATTTCAATTAGATAAAAACTGGAAACCATCTGGATACACACCGAGAGGATAAGAGAGTATGTGGTTGTGCTGGGATGAATAATGGCCTGCCAATGATGTCCACGTCCTAATTAATCCCAGAACCTGTGGTTATGTTATCCTATGGTAAAGAGCACTTTGCAGCTGTGATGATGTTAGGGGTATTGAGATAGTGAGATGATCCTGGCTTATCCAGGTGGGCTCAATGTCATAAAAACGTTCTCTCTCTCTCTCTCTCTCTTTTGTGATTTGGGTGAAAATTTACAGAGAAAATTCACTTTCCATACAGCAGTTCACAGACACTTTGTCTCAT